AAACCGACCAGGGCTAAAAACATTTTTTTAAAATATGTTTTTATTGATTTTTAGAGAGAGAGAGAGAGGTAGGAACATCGATGAGAGCAAAACATTGATCAACGACCTCCTGCACACCACCTATGGGCACCAAGCCTGCAACCCAACTATGTGCCCTGACTGGGAACTGGCAACTTCTTGGTATGTGGGTCGATGCCCATCCACTGAGCCACGGCAGCTGGGCCAAGTGCTGACCTTTTACCTAGCTTGTTCCTTAGCCCGATCCTTTCCATGCAGCTGTCGGACCTGTCCATCACCTATGAACATTATTTTCCAAATGTTTAACTCTATCCCTGGCCGGTTTGGCTCAGCGGTTAGAGCATCCGCCTGCGGTCTGGAGAGACCCGGGTTTGGTTCCCGCTAAGGGCATGTACCTCGGTTGCAGTTTGTCCCCGGCCCTGGTTGGTCGTGCGGGTGGCAGCCACTCGATGTGTCCCTTTCACATCGATGTTTCCCTCTCTCTCTCTCTTCCTCTCTCTCCCTCCCACTCTGTCTGTACAAAAAATGGAAAAATGTCCTTGAATGAGGATAAAAAAAAAAGAATGTTTAACTCTAGAAGGTCACCTGTCAATTTTCTTTCTTTATTGGGGCTTCTCCTCCTGCTTCAGGATGATCGAGGTACCACACAGCTGTCATCCTGCACCTTGACTTTATTTAACTTACCTCAGTGTATGAGGATGTGGGGGGCAGGAGACCAATTCCTGCTGCTGTTTACCTTGTGCTTTGTACTGCCACCCACCCCACCCTGTCCTGGACCCCAAAATCTCTGGGGACGGTTCTTTGACAGTCTGATGAAAGCTCTGAACTCTCTCTCCAGAAAAATAAAACTTGGCACGTAATTCTGTGAATGTCTTGAAGACATTTATGTAACTTTTATAATAATACTTTTGGAAATGTAATCCCAGCAGCTGTAGAATTCCAAATAAGCCTTTAGTGGCTTAACTCTAATATTACATGTAGTAAAAGTCCATCTCTACCCAAACATTTTCTATTTTTACCAATAAATAGTTCTTTCCTCTTGAGCATTATACGATGTCTTAATATTTGATAGAACGCATTAGTTTCCCAAATTTTAATGGCCCGTGGATATGTGGCCTGTTACGTTTTGCTACCTGTGATGTTAATTTTAGCCTCTCCAGCTGTTCTGTGTGTTGACGTAGCTAAGAAGAATGGAGTTTCCCCAGTAACACTGCATACTGGCCGAGTTGAACCGAAATGGAGGATGAGCTGCATTCCCACCAGCATGCTGTCACCTGTGTGACACCTCTCAGTTAAAGAGACAGTGCAGATAGATAGAGGCTGATCTTCCTAATGGACAGAGGCCTTCTGGGGTCGTTGACAGGAGGGATGTTTCTATCTATGGGAGTTACACTGTCATACAGACACTCGGTAGTCGAGATCCTGTGGAGACAAACTCCAGGGACTTAGGTTAGAATTTGGTTGCAGTGAGTATTATTGGAGTAGGGTCTGTGGCTGAGATCTGTACTGTGTCTGTTTATCCACTTACTCAGCGAGCAGCTGCTGTTTTAACCAGGCAGTGACTGTAGATTGAAGTAGGACGTGGCCTGTATTCTTAGTCCTCAGACATTAGTCATTGTGAATGATTACATTTTTAAAAATAAAAGACTGGGTTTAACTAAGTGCCAACTTTTAAAATGTCAACATAGTTGAGTTTTCACCAGTTTTCTTGTATGGCATCTTCTAACTTAATTGGCCGTACATTTGTTTTCCCAGATGACCGAGTCCTTCGCCGATCTTGGTAGAGAAGGCCAGTAGCAGGTGTTTTCAGTCGGGCTGGAACAGAAGCAGGGTGGCAGTCCTTACTTCACCAGCCCTTCTGTGAAGTCACCTATAACATTAACATTGTTTAGATTCACAGATGACACTGCCCCCTTCAGAATTAAAACCGGTGTCATTTGGCGATCTTTTTCACTGAAGTAATCCAGGGGGACGAGGAACGAGCTGAGCGGAGGCTATTGTACCATCGGCCTTCAGTGTCTGGTCACGGGGAAGTGTGGATGAGCATGTGTCCGAGCTGTGTCTGAGCCCGTAGTGCAAGGGGACTCTCACCTGCACTGGACTGTGTGCATACGGTCCAAGGCAGTAGAGGATTTGGTGGAAAAGCCATTAGAATGTTGAAATACTGATGTAAGATGAACCTTTAAAAGAAGTTTGAAAATAAATAGTAAGAGACAGTGATGAACACTGAGGCAAATTTTCAGCACCCCCCACCCCCCAAAGAAAAAATTGTGTTTGATCTTCTGTGAACATGTTGGAGAGTTTGCGTATTGCATTTTGCTCTGGAAAATAAGTTGGGTATGATGGCTGGTTTTAGTCCCTTTTAAGTAGTAGCTCCACTGTGTGTTGGGACAGCTTCTCCAAGGCTAGAGATGGAGATCAGTCAGTTGATTGTTGGACAAGGGGTGGAATGAGGCCGAACCCATTTGCACAGATCCCTGGGTTCCCGGAAGGTGCTCCATTTTCAAGCTTCCCTTCCTGACCTTTGCTCTTCCCTCCCTGCCTACCGCACTGTCCTCTTCACTCTGTGCTTGGTCCTAGGTGTCCTCCTGAGAGAGCCCCCCCGCCCCCACCTAAATTAGTCGTCCCTGTCTGTCCTGCTTGAACATCTTGTCCACACCACGCTTCTGTGGTGCTCAGGGTACCTGATTCACCTGGCTCCCCTAGACTGCACTTCCTTCAGGTGTGTTCAGGTTTGTGTCACCGTCGCTGAGAGCCCCGCCATACTACGTGCGGATGGTTTCCTCTTGGTGGGGCACTGGCCATGCTCCCTGCCTTGGCTCAGCGTCCTGTGCTGAGTGTACTGTGGGTACTCCTTCCCTCTCTGCAGGGCAACAACTGGACATTGGCCTGGATTCTGTGCCTTGGTAATTCCTGAGGATGAAAGACTTAGGGCCCAGGCACAGTGTCACCCCCACTTTGGGACAGGCTGTGAAGCAGATGGGACGCTTCTCCGGCCTGTTGACCCTGCTTGTGTGTTGCTGTGAGTTATCCATTTGGCAGCTCCCTAATTGTAGGCTGATTGGAGCTGGGTGTTACATGTAAATATTCCTCCTTTACCAGCAAACCCACTGATCAGCCTTGTCGGTGGAGGGCATTGGAGGAGAAAGGGGTTTTCTCCTCCTGGCTCCTGTGTGCATCTGTAGTGTTTGGATCCTGTTGGCAGTGCCCCCTGAGATGCAGGGGGGACAGCAGCAGCAACACCTCCTCTTGACAGCCTTCCTGGCAAGCACCCCCTCCGGGCAGTCTCCGGGGTGTGGCCCCGCCCTGTGCACGGCTTCCAGCACAGCTTTCCACTGTCCCGGCGGGTGGTCCTTTACACGTCAGCCTCCACCTGCTGGCCTGGCCACAGTGCTCGGCTCTCAGCCTTGGAGAGGGGCCCCTTTCTGCGCCGGCCCTTTCCCTGAGTGCCCTCGCTCAGCACTGATGTCACGAGTTCCCGTAGCTCTTTCCTTCGATCCCGTCAATAATTCTTTATTAAACTTCCTCTATTCAAATTACTGGGTGCTTTTGTCCTCACATTGGACCCCCCGGGCGAGGTGCCTTCAGTGCCAGGCTCCATCTCCCCACCGCACGGACCATCCAGATTCCCTCAGGCCAGCCTGGAGGCTCTCCCGGCAGTTCGTCCATGTTCTGAGCTCTGTCGAGTAGGTAGTGGCCCCGCTGGGATTAACTGAGGCTCACAAACTTCGAGTCTTTTAGTGTTATCCCACTAGGAGTCAAAGGATGGATAAATGAAAATTCATGAAATTGATAAACCTTTGCACTTTAAGTGATGTCCATCCACAACAGAATGTGATTTGGTTTTGTTCTTTTGATTTGCAAATATTCCTTCTCTTTCCACAAAGCACTTGAAGTGGGTAACTTTTTTTTCATCTCATCTCTGAATTCCCAAGGGCAGAAACTGTGTTTCATTTTAATTATCTTGAACCCACAATGCCTGTCACATAGTAGGTGCATAGCAAATGTTAGCTGACTGATTAAAAGGCTAATTATATTGAGTTGGCATTCTCTTGTGTTTTGTTTTCTATTCCAAGAAAGCCAAAATCAGCTGATGTTTTCTATGAACGTTGACAGTTCATAGACAGTTACAAGTAGTTGTTTTAGTACTTGAAATGTGAACAGCTAGGTTATCAATTTAGCGTTTGTTCTCATTTGTTTTTCTCCTGCCGTTTACAGATGGTATCTGCCATGTCAGGTGGGCACCAAGCAGTGCGCTAGGCATTTCATAGTCTCTCATTCTCAAGCACCTTCGTTTTACAGATGTGGAGTTGAGATGGAGTCCCCTCCCCAAGACCACACGGACAAGTTGTGTCTGAGCCAGGCCTGGGGGCCATAGTGATCCCCAGGCCCTTGTGTGCTCCACTCGACTGTCCGATCTTGCCCGAGTGGTCCCTGAGTCGCTTGGTGCCTGCCCTGGGTGTGTGCGCCCACGGGCGGGCACAGCACCTTCGGAGCCTCCCCGCCTCCCTCCTCTCCTGCACACGGCCCGCCGGCTCTGCAGGCGCCGACACATCTAGGCACGTGACCAGGACTTGGAAAACGCTGAAAGGGCCAAAAGTCGCCTCTCGTTTGCCTCTTTAAAGACTCAGACAGTCTCCCTGGCCAGGTAGCTCAGTAGATAAGAGTGTTGTCCCAGAACACCAAGGTTTCCGGTTTGATCCCCAGTCAGGGCACATGCAAGAATCAACTAATGAATGCTTAAATAAGTGGAACGACAAATCGATGTCTCTTCTCCCTGCCCCCTTCCTCTCTCTGAAATCAAGAAACAAAAATTAATAAAAAATAAACAAAGTCTCATCAAAGTCGAGCTACCTGTTGGAAATTGAAATTGGAATAGGTTATGGGAAACATTTAATTACATAAAAGTTCAATTAAAGTTAAAGCTCAGGGGAACATAGGTGCACTTTCCAACACTGACCCTTGCCTCTTTTTCTTCTTAGGTGCTGTTACCCCCGTACGATGATGCCACTGTGACTGGTGCTGCCAAGGAGCCGCCCCCACCTTACGTGTCTGCCTGAGCCTGAAAGGGGCGGGGCTGAGCATGAGCTTGACCTCTCAGACACCTGAGCAATAGTTCTTTATTTTCACTTCTCAGATGAGCTCTCTGGGCTTTTTTGTTGCTGAAATGCTACACTTTATTCTCTTTAGTGTTAAGTTGAAACCCTCTGTAGTTTTAAACATATGCTTTAGCTAGAGCACTGTGACAGGGCAGGGGTAGAGTTCCTGTGGGGTGGGGTGCAACGGGCTCCCCTCGTCTTCCCTGGACTCCCCAAACACTGAGACGTCCCAACAACCTGGATGAGCCTCGAGTCCAAGAAGTCTGGTTTTGTACGTCAGGCCTCAAAGTTGGGGGAAAAGGCACCTTTTTTTTCCCTTCTCTGTTTTTCTTGAATGTGTAAAATAAAATCAAAAGTAGACACTACTTGTCTGAAGCCACTTCAGTGTGTTGAAGAAATCCTTATGGGAACAGGGATGTCAATTGTGAATCATTGCTCCAGTTAGGTAAACGGGAGTCCATGTATGCGTATACATAAAACGAGTTTCCTGAAGCCCCTTTGTGACTTAAATTCAGTGACAATTTGAATTTGCTGGTCAGGGATTTTGTCCATGGGCTAAATTGAGGCCCTTCAACAGTCGCTGGCAGTAAGAGAGTCACCGCCTGTGGCTGTTCCGTCGGCCCCTTACGGGTGGACTGATACGTTTGGCACTGTGTGGTGTCCGGCGCGCCCTGTCCCCTGGTTTCCTGTCCCTGCCAGGGCCCCTTTCACTAAGGGTTCTGTCCTGTGCTGGTTCACGGAGCACGTCCATCTCACTTTGTAGGGTGGCACTGTGACATGTATGTACCTGATCATATAAAGAAGGTTTTCTTCTCTCCCTGCAAGTCACATCCTACAACTTGGAACTTCCAAGTATGTCTCGTCATCTTTTAAAGTGAGTGTAAAACGACCCTCAGAAAAACGAGGAAGGGCGCTGTCCTTGTGGAATCCCCGCGTCCTGACTACCTGAATATTCAAGAGTCACGGCTCTCCTGTTTTCATTATTCAAAGTGCTGTAAATGAAGGCTTTTACAGTTAAAGTGAGATTTGCCCACACCCAAAAAAATACTCTTGATTCAGTGGTGACTGTGCCTCTGGGCTCTTCCCGCCCACGTGTGGACACACAGTGGGGCCTAAGGAGAGGCTTTATGGCTTGTTTCACACATGGTTTTTAATGTTTCAGTGCTGATGAAATCAACATCTTAGGCCAAGAGAAATGGAGATAAACAGATCTGAGCTTCCAGTTCCTGACTTCGGCCTCCACCAGGCTATGTGCTCAGCTGTTTTGCGTCTCAGTGTTTTGTCTGAAGTGCACTTTTAGTAAGCAATTCAGATTTTACTACATTCAAAAGGGGCTAGGCCCAGCGAGTGTGGCTCAGTAGATTGAGCATCCTCCCATGGACTGAGAGGTCCTGGTTCGATTCCTGATCAGGGCACATGCCTGGGTTGTGGGTTTATTCTCCAGTGGGGGGTGTGCAGGAGGCAGCCTGCCGATTCTATATATCTCTCTAGAAAATCAATAAAAACATTTTTTAAAAAACAAAAAGGTGGGAGGATGCCGTGGCTATTATGCTTCAGTGGTTAAAGTGTTGGCCTGCACACCAAAGGGTCTTGGGTTCAATTCCAGGTCAAGGGAATGTACCTAGGTTACAGGTTCAGTCCCCAGCCCCAGTAGGGGGTATGTGCAGGAGGCAACCAATTGATGTTTCTCTCTTACCCTCTCCCTCTCCCCATCCTTCCCTTCCCTTCCACTCTATTTAAAAAGCCAAATGGGCTCAGATGGTATAGCTCAATGGTTGAGCATCAACCCATGCCCCAAGAGTCACCAGTTCGACTCTAGGTCAGGGCATGTGCCCAGGTTGAGGGCCCAATCCCCAGTGGGGGACATGTAGGAGGTGGCCACTCGATGTTTCTATCTCTCCCTCTTCCTCTCTCAAAATACAGAAAAAAATAAATATATATATATATATATATATATATATATTTTTATCCTCACCCAAGGATATTTTTCCATTTTTTTGTTCAGATAGAGTGGGAGGGAGAGAGAGAGAAACATCCATGTGAAAGGGACACATCGAGTGGCTGCCACCTGCACAACCCAACCAGGGCCAGGGACAAACTGCAACCGAGGTACATGCCCTTAGCGGGAACCGAACCCAGGTCTCTGAGGACCGCAGGCCGACGCTCTTAACCACTGAGCCAAACCAGCCAGGGCAAGAAAAAATATTTTCAAAAAATCAAAAAACAAAACAATGGAAACAGTATCCTCGGGTGAGAATTAATGGTGGTGGGGGGGGAGAATTGGGAGGGGAGATCTGTATACCTTTAAATCTCACTTTAATATCTAACTTTCTCCTATTTTCCTGACTACAGAAAAACAAGAATAGTTATTACCTCAATTGTTCTCATGTCTGTATACCTCTTGGTCATTTGACATGAGGGCTCAGTTTTATTCATCTTGACCCCCCCAGTCTCTTAATTAATGGGCATTCAGCTCAGCACCATGAGGTGTGCAAATGGACCCCCCAGTAATACGCCCTCGCCAGAGAAAGTCTGAAGTCTGTTTGCTGGGGCAGGGGGAAGAGGAAAGGGCACCTTTTGGCTTGGATTGTGGTCTGTCCTCCCCAGAAACCGAGCTTCTGTTGAAAAGCCAGTCAGATTTCCAGAGCGCTGAGTCACATGGAGAAGTTTGAAGGCCAGCAGACTGCTTGCCCTCCCCTTCCTGCACCTTCCTATACACACATGTGCAGCATCCCCCCAAGTCTGATGTCCTTGTCCCTGTCCCCACCCTAGCCTATTGTCCCTGAAAATCTAAGACTTTGCCCTCCTTTCTCCCCCACTCCTTTTTACTCTGTTCTGGCCCTAAACATTTGTTTAGTTGGACTGCTCAGCCAAGCCACACCTCATTTCATTTGTCTTTCCACCCTCAGGTGGGTAATCAATACGCTGTAGTACTGATTTCTGTAGACCATCTGTATAGACTTGTAACCATTAAGTTGTTTTCTCCGGAGAGGGATGTACTGCATTTGAAATACCCATCCTTCAAAAACAAATCCTGCTGTGGAAACTGAGCTTTTGTGATAGAGGAAAAATAATGAGACTAAAAACATTATTTCACTTTTAAAAAACAGATGTATTCGTTTTTGCAGCTGCTCTGGAAACGGACTTAAACATCATGAAATAATGTTTCTGTGGGTCATGTAGGTAGTCTCTGATGTTCTGGAGGGTTGAGAAGACAGGTGTCTTTGCCAAGGAATTTGTAAGGACTGCCAACATAGAGTGCGGGCTGAACCATTTCACGGTTCCCCACCTTCAGACCCAACAAGCACCAAAAATAGTGCCTGTGGCAGTATAAAATGGGTTTTTGGCTGCTCAGGTCCATGTTCTAAAAGGGAAGGAAAAGGCATTGCAAGGATGTCTCCACGCCCATGGAATTCACTTGAAGTGTTTCTGTACACCGGCCAAGTTTTCAGCCAAATGATGTGTAGGGAAGCCAGCCATATCTGACCTGTCCAGAAGCCCACGTACTCCCGCTGACATCAAAGCGAAAGTCTTAGCACTGGATACCCATCGACGTGCTCCTAATGAGCAAGAACACTGCCGCTTCAAAATGAAGAGTTTGGCTTAAAACAGCACGATGGGCTCAAGTTCTCTTTGTTTTATCCCATCTAAAATGCACATTTAAAAAAAGTCATTAGCCCTGGCCAGTTTGGCTCAGCAGTTGGAGCGTCGGCCTGCGGTCCAGAGAGACCTAGGTTCGGTTCCCGCTAAGGGCATGTACCTCGGTTGCAGTTTGTCCCCAGCCCTGGTTGGGTCGTGTGGGTGGCAACCACTTGATGTGTCCCCCTTTCACATGGATGTTTCTCTCTCCCTCCCACTCTATCTGAAAATATTTTTTTTTAAAAAGTCATTAACATACAAACAGTTTTTACTTAAGCAAACTTACTAAGATGGGAACCTCTGTACCTCAGCAAATGAAATGATAACATGTATATAATCCTTGGTGTATGTCAGGTACCCAGGGTATGATGTTGCAGTAGAGCAGAGTTTGGAAGGGAAATGTGTGACCCCCAAATAGATCAGGCATAACTAGCCAACATGTGGGTTTGAGCCACATTTCTCTCCTGGAAGGCCAGGATTCAATGCGTCATCATCGTGTCTGCTACTTGCTAGTCAGGTTTGGAGCTATGGTGTCTCACCTCCCGCTATGCTTACCCAAAACGTGGAAAGTCACTTGAAAAGTGACGTCCTGCCATCCTGGAATCCTAGATTCAGTGCGTCCAATTTAAGCCAACAGGGCTCCCACCTGTGGTGTGCCTGCCCGGGGAACCCCGTCTTGGCTCTGGGAAGGCAAAGGAACAATGGGCTGCTCTCTGTGCGACCAGCAACAGTACAGAGGACCCAGTGTCCTGCGTGGCGGGGACACTCCTCTGACCCAGTGGCATTTGTGTGATGTCACTTTTCACTCAGAATTCATGTTCCCTAGAGGAATGTCATTTTAATTATTCATTGTCACTCTTTGACTTTCATAGGCTTTCTTTTTATCTTTAGGCCTTTTCATTACGTTTATCTTTTCTACGGACAGTTCCCTTTCGGTAAGCAGTAGGGGCAGCTGTGACCCTGCTTTTGTCAGTGATCCCAGTCTCCCCTGTATTGATCTATTGACATTTCGTATTCACTGTGGCCAACATGGAAAATTGGCCTCGATTTCCCCCAAATCTGCTGCTGTTGATTTGGGGAGCTGTTGGTGCCTCCCCATCATTCCAGGCATCCCAGCTTGAAGTCATAGGCCCTCTGCCTTGTCTCTTCCCCACATCAGATCAGTCCCAGGCCCTGTGACATTTACCATTTACTGAGCCTTTTCTGCGTGCCAGCCAAGCTACTAAGTACTTCACACATATCAACGGTCCCTTTTACCAATGATACTGAGACTTTTAAAGGAAGATAACTAGTTGGTCCCAAGTCACACCAATTATTGGCAGAGCCAGGATTGAAATCCTAATCGAGTCCATCTAAGTAGGTATTGCATATTTTTGAGACATCTGGAGTTTCAGAATCCTGTACATAACCTCCCACTTCTTTCTAACGGGTTGATCTCTAATTGGAATTACTGTATCCTGAGAAGGAAAGGAAGTCACACAAAGCCATGTGAACTTGGTGAACTCAGGGTTTACGTTACACAAGGAAAGCTATCAATTTCCCCCTGCAAGCAACAGTGTTTAATTCTTACAAAGAATTTATTCAGGCAGGAAGAAAGGTCAACTGAGATGGGCCGTTTAGAGTGTTAATTGTTTTAAGTGAACAAGTTCCTTCTAAGGAAATTAGATGCCATTTCAAACTGCACTGATTTATCTTTTTTTGAGAAGAATATACATATTAAATATGCAAACATC